GGGGGGATGGGTTAGCCTGGTGATGGGTATTAAAGAGGGCACGTATTGAATGGAGTACTGGGTGTTATGCGCAAACAATGAATCATGGAACACCACATCAAAAACTAATGATGTAATGTATGGTAATTAACATAACAATAAAAATTTAAAAAAAAGATTAAACAGCCTGCGCGACATTTTCACGTACAGTTGCTGGGAGTCCATAAGTCATGTGTATGTTTTTCTCTTAGGTTCATTTTCCAGACACTGAAAGAGCAGAATGGCTAAATAAGGTAAGAGTAGAATATACTAAATACCAGAGTATCAGCGGGAGTTAGAGGATGAGGTGCCATCTTTCCATTTTTGGGAAGTTGGATGTTGACAGTATGTGAACTCCTTTGGGTGTAGTGGACTGGCTCCTGCTCCCAAAAAAACTGAGTCATAACTGATAAACGGTACTTTCCTAAGTAGTGAAAACTGTGTCTTTAACATGAAAAAATTGATATAGTCATAGTTGTGTATTTGGCCTTGTGTCTACTTCCCTGATTGGCTAGTGCTCAAGTCTATTTTATAATAATTACAAGCAGAATTTTTGAAAATATTATGAAAAGGGAAGTAATTCCCAAGAAACCTAGTAATAGATTAATAATTTTTAAAGGTTATTTTTTAAGATCATATATTTTGAAGTAGATGTTTGTCCCCACATTTTGTATATCCTTAGAGCTATAAAGTAAAAACTAATGTAGATTAATGATTGCCTGACAGCACCAGAAGTTAGTCCATCATTAAAGAAAACTCATTAATGTTTATTAAGATCTATACAGTTTTAGGTTTTTAGAAACGAGCTGAAACCACAGGGTTTTCTGATTTTTCTTTTTCCCCCTAAGCAACTTTAAATGTGCTGATACGCTTAAATGGAATGCTTAACCAGAATAACTAATTTCTGGAACATATTAGTTAATCTGTAGTTTATTGTTGTACATTTTTGAAATTCAGATCATGTTGATTTTGCATAATGAAAAGGAGACCCCCCTCCTTTTAATTTTCAAAAATTCTGCTAAACTATAGAGGTGTAATTTTTCATGATGATGTAAGTACATCATTACGTGTTAGTACATAATACATTATTATGTATTACAGCATTTTGTTTGACATGAGTTTTTTCTTCTTTACAGACTGTAAAACATATGTGGCCTTTTATTTGCCAGTTTATAGAGAAGTTGTTTCGAGAAACTATAGAGCCAGCTGTGCGGGGAGCAAACACCCACCTTAGCACTTTCAGTTTCACAAAAGTTGACGTGGGTCAGCAGGTCAGTTTCTTCTTAAGTATCCTTACTTGTGCACATGGTAGAATTGGTGTGAACACTTTAAAAAATATATAAAACTACTTCAAATTACTTTATAGAGAAAAAATTGCTCCTGGGGAGGGTCTAGCAGGCTGTCTCTGCAGCTCGTTCCAGTTCTGCCTCATGTGGGATGCCCTCCCTTTGTCTGTCGGGAGGTCCTCACGTTGCACTCATTCTTCCCCTGTGGTCTTTGGCCTGTTCAGTTTCCTTGGGTGGTTTCTCTCAGTTCCCATCATGTCTTTCTACCCCACATCCTTCTATCAGAATTACCTTTGTACAGGGGCGCCTGGGTGGCTCAGTCGTTAAGCGTCTGCCTTCGGCTCAGGTCATGATCTCCAGGTCCTGGGATTGAGTCCCGCATAGGGCTCCCTGCTCGGCGGGAGGCCTGCTTCTCCCTCTCTCACTCCCCCTGCTTGTGGAAAGCCTGCTTCTCCCTCTCCCACTCCCCCTGCTTGTGTTCCCTCTCTCGCTGTGTCTCTCTCTGTCAAATAAATAAAAAATCTTTAAAAAAAAAAGAATTACATTTGTACAGTTTTTCACAGTCTGTCTAGTTGGAGTTTGATACGTGAGTTCATACTGAAAGTTTCATAATTGACAACAAACTTAAAGGTGTTTACCCCTCAAGATGTTTAAAAATGATAATTAAGGACTCCAGTGCCAGACTTGTAGAATCGCATTAATTATGTAGATGAAGGGAAAGATAGATTTTGTTATTAGAATCAGATACAAAGAAAAACTGCTAATTCCTAATATTCCTTCTAGTGAAAGCCTCAAGACAACATCTAAATTAGTTATTCATTGGGCACCTGGGTGGCTCAGTTGGTTAAGCGACTGCCTTCGGCTCAGGTCATGGTCCTGGAGTCCCTGGATCGAGTCCCACATCAGGCTCCCTGCTCGGCGGGGAGCCTGCTTCTCCTCCTGACCCTCTCCCCTCTCATGCTGTTTCTCTCTCTCTCTCTCTCTCAAATAAAATAAAAAAAATATATATCTTTAAATTAGTTATCCATGGCTAGTTTCTTTTTTTATTTTTTTAAGTCAGTGTTTGCAGTGATTAGCAACAGTTCAGGGTAACATTTTTGTTAATTGAGGTATAAGTGACATATAACATTGTATTACTTTCCAAGGTAACATTGTTTTGTCTGCCTGATGAAAATTCAGAATCCAGTAGTATTTTAGATACACCCACACAGTTGACACACATTTAGTGCAGCTCGGGAGAGCCAGACCACACACTGTCACCATATGCTGCAGTCCCCATGTCTGCTTCAGACCATCAGGGTTTTCATAGTGTGGCCAAGGAGTGTCTGACCTGGTCGCTGTGTTGCGTTTGTCCGCGCTCCCAGGCTTATTCCCATCCTATACTCCCAGAATGTTCCATCTTACCTGCAGTTACTCAAAATCTGGGGTCTCCACTGCAGGCACATGTGTTGTACTTAGTCGTTCTTCCTCTTGGCTGTGAGGTCTCCAGATAAGTTACAAGCCTGGGGACTGATCATCCCATTGTTCAAGCACATAAATGCCTGCACAAAATGCCTTTGTAACACTTACCTTTCATGTGTATTTTACCTTCTCTGACCTAAAATGATTAACAACAGATAGGAAAACACAAATACAGGGTTGAACGCTATGTGAGTATGAAGCAGATATTGTACACTTTTTTCTGTAAAAAGCCAGGTACTACATATTTTAGGCTTTGACAGCCCATAAAGTCTTTGAGGCATATTCTTCTCCACCCCCCCATTCCTTTTATAATCGTTTAAAAAATGTAAAAAGGTTTCTTAGCCAAAGGCTAAATTTAACCTGCAGGCCATGGTTTGCAGTCCCCTAATGTAAGATGATATGCTTGTGTTTGTGGAAATTTAGAATTCTAATCCCAGCTGGATTTGTTTTAGGGAGAATTATGTTCACTTTATATTACACGCTCTTTAAGTCTGATGCTAAGATTATCCTTGGAGAACAGGAAGCATGTTAAGAGTAGTGCTGACTCTGTAAAGCTTGACATCATCATCATCTGCACCGGTATTTTGCAAGTACAGGCGAACTTGAGCTATCTGAGGAAGGAACAGGCCAGAAGGACATGCAGAGCCCCGAGCAGGGTTCTTTGTACACATCGGACGTGCTGGCTACGTCCCTCTGTCAGCTGGGTTCCGTTGTCTTCAGGTGTTTGTCCTGTGTTGGATAATGCTCAGTCATCTGGAGTGGAGTTGGGCTCGCTGCTTCTCCTAACCTCAGATGTCATGTTAAGTGGAGGAAAGGAATATTATGCAGACATTTAAAGTAAAGGTCCTAAGCCACCTATATCCCATTTGCGCTCGTCAGCATAGTGATTTGAACCGTGTTCTCTGTGATTCATAGTCTGTGCATGTCTGAGCCGGTATCATCAAGGAAAAGGCCAGGAACCTAGGATAGTAGGAAATGTAGATGCTCAAAGACTTAAAGTTTTGTTTTGTTTTTAAGGTTTTATTTATTTATTTGTAAGAGAGAGCACAAGCAGGGGGAGCGGCAGGCAGAGGTAGAAGCAGGCTCCCTGCTGAGCAAGGATCATGACCTTAGCCGAAGGCAGACGCTTACCGATGAAGCCACCCAGGCACCCTCCCCCCGCCCCCGCAAAGACTTAGAGTTTAATCCTACAGCTAGTTGAGGGGTAAGAGGTTAGGGCACCTAAACTGTCACAGTAAGCTGTAGTACTCCAAAGGTAAGGAATTTCTTCAGCTTGAGTGTTTGATGCTCAAATGTGAGATTGAGAACCTTCTTAGAAGCAATCTCGAAGTGGTAAAATGGGAGGTTTTAAAATGGTGTTATAGCTAGATCCTTAAAACACGACATTTATTATAATCTGCCATTTCTTTTTACAATCATGTTTCTATCTAATGTGTCAGATTGAATTAAGATGAGATTAAAATTATACCTATAGCCAGTATTTTTGATTCACTCAAAAGCCCCGTTTTTGTGAAAATTTTAAGAAGTGAAAAACTAAAAGACATAAAGGAAAAAAAAGAAAGGAAATTATGTTTCAAACCATGTAAGGACAAAGTTAGAGGGAAAGGGTCAAAGTAAATTGGATGAAACAAAGGGCCATGGGGTTTGACCTTTAAGCACTCACTGCGCACCACACACGCTCCTCATGTCCTTTGATTTCACAGTAACCTCGTTAGATAGATGCCATTTATTATCCGTACTTCACAGATGAGGAAGTGGAGAATGGAGGCCTACTACCTTGCCCAAAGTGAAACAGCTAGTACACTCTGAAAGCAGAAGTTTAGTTCCTATAGCCTAGTGCTAAGCTTGTTCTAATCTCTATGCCGCATTGTAAGGTTTGGGTTTATTTTTTAAATAAGCATTTTAAAATAAGCTGCCTCTTGTTTCAGCCTCTCAGGATCAATGGTGTTAAGGTGTACACTGAAAATGTGGACAAAAGGCAAATTATTTTGGACCTTCAGATTAGGTAAGTTTTTATTTGTGTTACATTTATTTCATAGTTAATGGCTTATAAAGTCATTTAGCTGTACCCATAAAGTGGAAGATATAATGAGCACGCTTCTTACCTGTTGTCTGGTGGAATTTGACTAAATTGTTGAAGACCCAAATTTATTTATTTTCTGTGTCTTAATTCCTGATAGCCTAGATAATTGCCAATCATAAGCATGTTAAATTAAAAAAATTAAAGACCCTACAAGAAAACTACAGACCCATATCCATTAGGAACACTGACGGCAAAATCCTCATCAAAATACTAGCAAACTGAATTCAGCAACATATTAAAAGAATTATACACCATGACCAAGTGGGATTTACTCCCAGGATGCAAGGATCCTTCAACATATACAAATGAATCAAGTACCGCATTAACATAACGGAAGGGGAAAAAACCACATGATCATTTCAGTTGATGTAGAAAAAGCATTTGACAAAATTAATTATTCTTCCATGATAAAAATACTCAACAAACCAGGAACAGAAGAAAACTATTTCAGCATAATAAAAGGCATATCTGAGGGGCGCCTGGCTGGCTCAGTTGGAGGAGTGTGCCACTCTTGATCTCAGGGTCATGAGTTCAAGCCCCACGTTGGGTGTAGTGATTACTTAAATAAATTAGTTTTTTAAAAAAGGCATATGTGAGAAACCCCCAGCAAACATCATACTCAATGGTGCGAGACTAAGCTTTTCTTCCAAGATTAGGAGCAGGCGTGTCCACTTTGACCACTTCCATTTAACATGACACTGGAAGTCCTAGCAAGAGCCACTAGGTAGAAATAAAGACAAGGCATCCAGGTTAGAAAGGAGGAAGTAAAATTGTCTCTGTTCACATGTGATGTGATCTTATATGTAGAAAACCCTAAGGATTCCACAGAAAAACCTTGTAGAACTAATAAATTCAGCAAAGTAGCAGAATATAAAGTCAGCACGCACAAAATCAGTTACGTTCTGTACCTAACAATGCACATTCCAAAAGTGAAATCAAGAAACAATCTCGTTTAGAATCAGAAAGAATAAAACTCTTAGGAATTAGCCAAGAAGGTGAAAGATGTGTCTGCTGAGAGAAATTACAGAAGATATAAGTAGATGGAGGGCATCCCATGTTCTTCGTTTGGAAGACTTAATATTAAATGGCAACACTAAAAGCAATCCGTAGAATCAGTGCAGTCCGTGTAATCACATGTCCAATGAGCATTTAATATCTGAAGGTATATAGAACTCCTAAAACTAAACAACAACACACAACCCCATTCAGAAATGGACAAAAGGTCTTGAATAATTTCTCCAGAGAAGATGTACAAATATACAGCAAGCACATGAGAAGATGCTCCCCTCATTGATACTCAGGGAGATGCAAATCAAAACAGTGAGCTACCACCTCATACCCGTTAGGACGGCTGCTATCAAACAACAGAAAGCAGTGAGCGTTGGCGTGGACGTGGAGAACCTGGGCCCCTTGTGCACTGTTGATGGGAATGTAAAACGGTGCAGTTGCTGTTGAAACAAAATAGTTGTTCCTCAAAAAGTTAAACAGAATTACTGTAAGCCCCAGCAGTTCCACTCCTGGGTCCATGCCCAAAAGAACTGAAAATAAGGTTTCAAAGAGATACCTGTACACCTACATTCATAGCAGTTCACAGTAGCCGAAATGTGGAAGCGGGCGCCTGGGTGGCTCAGTCGTTGGGCGTCTGCCTTCGGCTCAGGTCACGATCCCAGGGTCCTGGGGTCGAGCCCCGCATCGGGCTCCCTGCTAGACGGGAAGCCTGCTTCTTCCTCTCCCACTTCTCTGCTTGTGTTCCCTCTCTCACTGTGTCTCTCTCTATCAAATAAATAAATAAAATTAAAAAAAAAAAAAAAGAAATGTGGAAGCAACCCAAGTGTTCATCGATAGATGAATGGGTAAGGAAAATGAGTCTGTACATGCAGTGGAATTTTAGTCACCTTTAAGATAAAGGAAATTCTTCTTGCTGAGCACCAGGTGATTAAAATAAAAACTTAAAAAAAAAAAGGTGACTTTGGGAAATAGCTGATTATCTAATACCATTCTAAAGCTAAAAAAAAAAAAAAAAGAAATTCTGACACATGCTGCAACATGGATGAGCCGTAAGGATATTATACTGAGTGAGGTAAGCCTGTCACAAAAAGACAAATACTGTATGATTCCACTTACATGAGGTACTTAGAGTGGTCAGACTTACAGAGAAAGAAATTGGAATGGTGGGCACCAGGGTCTGGGGGAGGGGAAATGGGAAGTGGTTTCATGGGGACAGAGTTTCAGTTTTATAGGATGGACGAGTCCTGGAGTTGATGGTGGTGATCGTCGCACAACATGGTGAATGTGCTCGATGCCACTGCACTACACACTTAAAATGATGCAGATGGTCCACTTTACATTCTGTGTATTTTATCACAATAAAAAATAATTGGGAAAGATTAATTGACAGTCTGCCAGGTACCACACCTGGCAGATAAAGGTGGTTTTGTTTAGTTCTTGTCCTCATTCTTTGTGAACTTACTCTTGGCTTCCTGCCTCCCTGTGAGGCCTAATGACACAGCTGTGTAAGGGGCAGCCGCTGAAGTGTGTCCACTGACAGACTCGGTTTATAGTTTTGTTTCTTATTTTGATCCTTGACTAAGGATCCTTTTATTTTATAATGTTGTCTTTGAGTTTCTGAAGTGTATAAATGTAGTAAATGTACAGAGTTGGTACCAATTACCTTTACTTTAAAAAGGAGCATTGACAGCCTCTAATGATCTGATGGAAAAATCTGCATCTTTAAAATACTAGGAACTACTGTGAACATTGTGTCATCAGTGGGATAAAAGGAAGCCCTGCTGTGTCTTCAGCTCAGCTGCACCCTGGGACTGTCCACTAGGCTGATAATGAGCTTCATGAGGATGGAAACCGTATTCTCTTATTCCAGCACCGAGGGAGGATTTCTTACACATTTATTAAACATTTGAATGAATCAGTTAATGGATGCCATTGTGAAGACGCGGTCTGGCTTTCATGATTTTAACAGTCATAACAACATATGCAGATTATGCTGCTCAGATATTTATGTCTCTAAAAAAAATCTGCATTCCACTTTTTTGTGTGTTCTTGACTGGGACTTTAATTAGGTTATTGGCGGTAGAGATGGGGAAGGAGTAATTGGCAGATATTAGGAAATAAAATGATCAGGTCTTAGGGTGAAGAGGAGGAAAGTTTTGAGGTGGTTTTTTAACAGGTGGTTTTACCAGCTAGATCCAGGGCCCTGCTCAGTAAGAAGAATCTGTAGGTGCTGGCTTTAACACCAGGACATAAATACCGGAAGAATTCATCCCAGATGCCTTTCTTTAGTATTGTACTTGTGTGCTCAGACACTCTTTCCAGCATCTGTCACACTGCCCCCAGATGTCCTCCGGCAGGAGCATGATGTGCTGCTTTTGAGGGTGGGAGTCAAATCACGGAGACCCCACACAAAACATAGATGATGTTTCATGTTCATATTAAGAATAGATGCAAGCCTGACATTCAGCATTGTACCATATTCTTGTTTCGTTTGTTTCGTTTTGTATTAATGATTGAAAGGACTCAATCACTGAGTAAAATTGGTGCCTCAGAAAGACACATTGTTTCTAGCCTTTGATGTCCAGAGCCCTGGAACACTGCTGTTGGTTTTGACCAGGGAGCATGGATGCAAAATTTACTCCTGGTGAAATATAATCTAAGCTTTTTTTTTATGTTTTAAACAAGCACAGTTGTTTATAAAACAAATGAAAACTACATTCCATCAAGAGACTGATCCAGAAGCTGCACTTTGAGAAGTGACATGTAATCGGTGTGGCAATGTCGAATCTGCTAGCAGGCACGTCTGTGATTCTGGGTAGTAAAATACTCGGACATGGGCCTCACATTACAGTTTTGCCTACAGGCTGGTTTTGGTTGTTTTGCTGTCATTTTACTCAGATTATGTACCTTGCAGGTCTGTGGTGATTAAGAGACAGTAATACAGAACTTCTCCTCTGCTAGTTTTGTAGGAAACTGTGAGATTGATTTGGAGATCAAGCGATATTTTTGTAGAGCCGGTGTGCAAAGTATACAGGTAAGGTTTTTAAAGTTCTATAGTCTTCTAAAATTCTCTATGCTCTATTCAAAAAGAAAAGTGAAGTTTTTATTAACTCAGAATTTCTTTGAAGTTAAGTTTTCTATTTGTAGGTTATACTTGAGAGAAACATAAAGTCAGATGCTCAGAAGTCACTAAGATGATCATGTATCCTCCTTCTTGAATCAGTAAATGGCCTGTGAAATTGTCTTCTATGACATGTTTTGGTTTTTCCACTTGAATTTAGATTCATGGTACAATGCGGGTGATCCTGGAACCGTTGATTGGAGACATGCCCCTAGTGGGAGCCTTGTCTGTTTTCTTCCTTAGGAAACCAGTAAGTAAACATTAATTTCATTTTTCCCATTAACTGACAAGGATATGTAAAACAGAGAAACATAGTCTGTCCTTCTCTCACGTTTCCCTTTTCTGATACGTGAATCCTTTGAGTGTTTTTATACTTCTTTATGCTCTTAATGGAGGGCTTCATCTCTTAATAGACAGCTTTTTTCCTGATCACAAAAAATAATGTTTGTTACAGAAAATTTGAAAACATAAACTTTTTAAAAAGTGTAGGTTGTAACTAACATTCAGCACGTATCACTGCGTGTGATTTATAGATATTTGCTCATCTAATCCTTATTAACTTTACGGTTGCATACTAACATAGTTTCCTTTTACTGACCAGGAACTGAGAGTCTAATTTGTCCAAGTCACAAAACCAGTAAGTCTGGGACCATAGGCTGACAGAGTTGCCGTTCTCATTCTAACCCCTAAATCTCCTTGCAGCCTCCACCAACAAAGGCTGCCATCATTCACACGCATCGTCTTTCTGTCATGGTGTTTAATGAACTGCACAGTACGTGGTTTTTAAGAATCATGAAGGTTTTTGGTTTGGTTTGGTTTTGATTGAATTATATATATTTTATATATATATATTTTTTTTTTTTTTTCTTTTAAGTATGCTGCACACCAAGTGTGGAGCCCAGTGCGGGGCTCGAACTCACGAATGTGACTGAGCACCCAGACACCCCTGCTGAGTTCTGTTCTAACACTGGATAAACCGTACTAATCATCACTGCACACTGTTAGTGTGTATATACACATATATGGAATATATATGTATTCCACATTTTATTATAAGTAGTCAATACTTAGTAGTCATTATTAGCTCAAAAATAAGACAACAAAAATGTCATTCCCGCCTAGACTGACGCCTCACCCTAGCCCCTCCCCCTCCCTTTGACTCTTCCTAAGGCTCCTGCCCCTCACCTGGGTGGCTCCTTACCTACAAGGCTCCTCCTTATGAGGGCTCCTGTAGCCTCTGACTGGCTTTCTGCCTTGGCTCGGTCCTCTGTACACTTCACCACTAGGGCTATCTTCCCAAGGAGCAAACAGACCTACTAGGGAGCATCTCTCCCTTGCAGTCATCGTGGTCTAGGTGGGGTCTCTCTCCAGCCTCATTTCCTGGCACTGCTCCTCAGGAGCATCCCGATTTCCAGCCACAGGGAGGAATCATAATCCAAAGATAGTGCCAACCCCCATCGTCTCTCATCACCTCCCTTTGTCTTTTCCTACTCCCAGAACACTGTCTTTGTCCCTTTGTATGACCCCTTCCAAAGACACAGGTAGTCAGCTTTCCCCTTGTTCCCCTGGTGCCTTCCTGTCCTGTGTGTTGTGGCATACTTCTTGTTACTCTTTGAAAGCCACAGCCATATCTGTCTCCATACGGTTCAGTAAATGTCTGCTGGATAAATTGACCTGTTTCTCAGTTATCTTTTCATGATACACCATTTTTATAACTTTTGTGAGTCCTTTTTGGAGGTACCGTTAACATTATGTATATTTAAAATAATATTAATTTTTATAATTTGATTTAAATAACTTAATACAAATTATTATTGTTGTGTTTTTTTTAAATATGGGTTTATTTAGACCAAACAAATGGCATTTTTTTCTGTGTAAAAACGCAAGAATTAAGTGTCTTCACTTTTTTACCACTAAAAGTACTACTCTCATTTGCTTTTTTTTTTTTTTAAAGATTTTATTTATTTATTTGTGTGAGAGAGAATGAGAGAGAGCACATGAGA